ATAATATTTCTCTATATATATATATATATATATATATATAATTAAATAATAGTGATAACATGACAATCACAATCAGGTGTGCGTTTTCCAAAAGCATGGTTGCTAGCTCCACTGAACTTAATTGGTAATGACAGAAATTTCATCCGTAGTTGCTTTTGGGAAAAGCATACCAGAAATTTATGTAATAACTGTGACAGGACTCTCTTAGGTTATGTTATTAAAGTGCCCCTATTATGCCATTTTTACGGTTCCTAATATTGTTTTGGGAGTCTCCTACAACAGGATTACATGCATGCGAGGTCAAAAAATGCTTTCGTTTTCTCAAAATATGCATTTAATATCACCTCATTTTCCAGCGATTCTCAAACGATTCGTTCGAAACAGTTCAAAGATTCAGTCTCTCTAAACCCCTCCTTTCCGTGAGCCTGCTCTGCTCTGATTGGTCAGATGGCCTAGTCTGTTGTGATTGGTCTACGGCGTACAGCCCGTGTCAGAAATGATACGCCTATTCTCTGTTTTGCCTCTAAACAGTGCACTTGAAGCCCTAATAAACTTTGCCTACAACGGACACATAGCCATAGACCAACAAAACGTCCAGGCCCTCCTGATAGGGGCCAGTTTCCTGCAGCTTCAAAATGTCAAAGATGCCTGCTGCTCTTTTTTACAACAGAGGTAAAGTTGATTTCTTCATAAGACCAAAGGGTCAGTAAGATTTTGGCAAGACAGAAATTCATATTTTCATTCTGCAGGAATGCATTAAATTGATCAGAAGTGACAGTAAAGACTTCTACTTCTGTTTCAAAAAAGTTTGCAATTAATAATTACAATAATTACAATTATTTGAATTCAAATCATTTAAAAACTTTTAATTTACCAAAGAATCCTGAAAAAAAATATTTCCACAAAAATATTAAGCATTCGTGAGCCTGCTCTGCTCTGATTGGTCAGATGGCCTAGTCTGTTGTGATTGGTCTACGGCGTACAGCCCGTGTCAGAAATGATACGCCTATTTCAATAGTTCTGTATTTTGAACGCTCTATAGAAAATATAAACATCTATTATTTATCATACTTGCAGGTTGTGATTCAGTGGAGCAGCTGGTCCAAATAAACAGGATACTGATCTATCTTTCAACAGCAAGCGTTTTGTGAATCCTGCGTTGAACACCCCGAGATTAGAAAAGCAGTCGTCAGTAGAGTGGCGTGTTTGTAGGCGGAGTCAAGTTGTTCGTGGCCGGCCAACGTAGAATATAGGCGCACATTATGCAGATGTGTTACCCTGTGACGTGTAGCCGTACTAATGACTCGTTTCAGCTGTTCAGAATCGATTCTTTATTTTGGGAGACAATAACTTTATTTATCGTGCACTTTCAGCTTTACAACTTTGCAGACCGTTTACATTCACATACAGCTACATTACACACTGCATGAAAGGCAATATTGGAAATGGCATAATAGGGGCACTTTAAAGTGATTAATTTCACATACACACAGGATTCATTGTTCCGACTTGCTCCTAATTTACAGGTTGCATCCAAAGAATTGCCTTGGTGTAAGGCAGTTTGCAGAGACTATGATGTGCACCACGCTTTATGATGCAGCCAACAGCTTCGTTCACCAGCACTTTGTGGAGGTATCCATGTCTGAGGAGTTCCTGACCCTTCGGCCGGAGGAGGTGCTTGAGCTTGTGGGCTGTGATGAGCTCAACGTCCAAGCAGAGGAGCAGGTCAGAGTCTCTGGAGACATTTGATGAAGACATTGTAATGGCAAGAAAGGATGTTGCTGAATGAATGGATGTAGATCACAACATTTTCATTGTGTCATAGTTTCGGGTATTTTCTTTCGAGACATTATAAAAGAGAAAACCTGATCTTGTTGTTTGTAGGTGTTCGAGGCCATACTTGCTTGGGTACGGCATTCACGTGAAGATCGGGAGTCACGGTTACCAGAGTTAATGTCTAAAACCCGTCTGCCTCTATGTCGACCTCAGTTCCTTGCTGACCGAGTCCAACAAGATGAGCTTGTACGCTGCTGCCACAAATGCAGGCAAGTTTCTTAGATAAGATACGTTTCTTTATAAGATAACTTATGCCCCATCATTTTGGCAAAACACATCCAAAATATGACACTGATGTTTGCAGATCCAAATCTATAGAAAACATATTTTTCAACACAAAATCTCTGAAGAGAGTCACTAATTTCCATTTCCAAATAATGGAAGAATGGTAGATAATAGTAATAATAAAAATACACATTTTTAGAAATGACTAAGACTATGTAAGTTTCTTAGTAATGCTTTTGAAAGGATGTAGAATTAATTATTTTTGGGAATGCATTTGAATTTTACTCCTAACAGGGACCTTGTCGATGAGGCGAAAGATTACCATCTGATGCCAGAGCGAAGGCCACATCTCCAAGCCTACAAGACCCGACAGAGATGTTGCACATCCATTGCGGGCTTAATCTATGCGGTTGGGGGCCTCAATAGTGCTGGTATCTATTTCTTCACACTTGTACTTTTAAAAACCTCACGTACTAGTTACTGCAACATGTCAGTGGTTTTGTTGAGTTATTCTTTTATGCACAGGTGACTCATTAAATGTTGTGGAAGTATTTGATCCAATTGGAAACTGTTGGGAGCGATGCCAACCTATGAGCACAGCCCGCAGTCGAGTGGGTGTTGCTGTCGTGAACGGGCTGCTTTATGCCATTGGTGGTTATGACGGTCAATCACGGCTTAGAACTGTAGAAGTTTACAACCCAGAAACTGACACGTGGACCAAAGTTGCTAGCATGAATACTCAACGCAGGTAGGAAATCCTAAAAGGAAATCCATATTTAATATGTGAGGGAAATATTTTTTCTTTGGAAAGCTATTTAATTGTTCAGTGACAACTTTTTCCAATTCTTTTTAAGGTTTTGCAAAGAGTTTTAGGTACATGTGATATATATCCGATGCTTCTGGTATTCTCTTCTTTCTGCATTAGTGCAATGGGAACAGTCGTAGTTGATGGGCATATATATGTGTGTGGTGGATATGATGGCAAATCTTCTCTAAATTCGGTTGAGTGCTATTCTCCAGAGACTGACAGGTAAGTCATACATTCATCAAGAAAAATTCAGGGTTAATGTAGGGCTGTCACCTTACATTAATTTGTATATCAAGTAATTAGGAAGGGAAAATAATTTGTTTAAAAAAAACTAAGAAGAACTTAAAATACATATATAATAACAATGTGGAACAAGAATATCTAAAATGTTATGATAATTTTGAATAATACATATTTAACATTTGCGAACATACATAATAATGCACGTCAAAATGCATAATGTAATAGTTTGTGTGCCCATCAAGCTGTTTTATATTGTAAAAGAGACCATTAATAATAATTAAAAATACTTTTACATTAGCATCATACAAATCAGTTGAATTTGAAATCATTACTTGTAATGTAACAATGATTGTGGATACACTTTCTAGCCTGCAGAGGGCGCCAACAACCTGGCAATTGTTGTTACACACAACACTATAATTAAATGCTTGTTTAATCTTGGCCAAACTATATTTAATTCAAAAGGTTGAATCACACAGTCTTCAATATTTGAGCAGATACAAAATGTAAATGCAGCCTAATAGGCTCAAATAATAATGCTGTTAATATTATTTATTCCTTTGCTAATGATTTGTTTTTCCATTCCTAATTTTATTACTAACTTACTACTTGGACTTATATTCTTATTATATACCATTCTTATTCTTATTATATGTTTTAAATAAAGGGATGTGTAATATGAATGTATTACTAACCGATTACTTGAAGGATTAAGTGTTTACTTATTAAAAGCCATATTTATTTTCATCATTTAATTTATTAATATATTAATATTTCATGTTTTAAGTAAAGACGTGTTCAATAGCAGATTGGTTTTGGTATTGAAAATCCTTTCACTGATATTGGACCTGTGACAGCCCTATTTTTCTCTGTTTATTAAACTATCCATTTAGGTGTTCATTTATTTTCTGTCTCAACAATTATTGTAGCTTTCTTTGGAATCAGAATGCGTCTGATTTCATGGTTTTATGTGTGTTTGTTACCAGATGGACGATAGTTACAGAAATGAGCGCAAGCCGCAGTGCTGCTGGTGTTACTGTATTTGAAGGCAGAATATATGTTTCAGGTGGTCATGATGGTCTACAGATCTTCAACACGGTAAGTAAACATCTTTCAATTTACAGGATGCAATTTGCACAGTTGTTTTTCCTGGTCTTTTCAGGATATAAGTTACGAAATGCTACAATATAACATTGTTAAATTGTATAGGATTACATCTCCTATTAGCCATAAGCCCCACTTGTAATACCATAATTTTTTTTTTATTTTTATTTTTTTTTATTGAAGGAGTAACGGTAGATATGTGGGGGCGTGTTAGAACGAGCCGTTTTAGCCGGGCATGGCAGAGTCTTAACTTTGATAAATAATATCTCTTTGGTTTTGAGACTTTAGTCTTTGCAACTTCAGGGATCTCATCTATGCACAATCAGCTTGTAACACTCCAAAGAGAAAGGAAAACTTGAAATCGCATCATATGACCCCTTTAAGAAAATAACCTTGTTGTTTCATGTTTTTGCCACTAGGTGGAGTACTACAACCATCATACAGCATTATGGCATCCTGTGGCTCCCATGATAAACAAGCGCTGTCGGCACGGTGCTGCAGCCTTGGGCAGCAATCTGTATGTGGCAGGAGGTTACGATGGCTCCGCGTTCCTCAGTGGAGCAGAGGTGTACAGCTCAGTAGCAGATCAGTGGAGCCACTTAGTGGCCATGAACACTCGACGCAGCCGCATTTCTCTTGTGGCCAATTGTGGTCGACTCTATGCAGTGGGAGGTTATGATGGACAGTCCAATCTCAGCTCTATGGAAATGTATGACCCAGAAACGAACCGTTGGATGTTTATGGCACCGATGGTTTGCCATGAAGGCGGGGTAGGGGTGGGCTGTATACCCTTACAGCCCGCTTAACGCCACAGTCTCCCTCAGCCCATAAGGACATTTTAATTATTTAAAAAAAAAAAAACAGGTTTTTGTACTGTGTGGTCTTACAAAATGCATTCATGACCCTTGGTTCACATGTTTGTATCAGAGGTACTATTATTCAGGCTTTTTATTGAGAAAAGCCTAAAGCAGATATGCCAGTACACCTTTAATGGTGATGTAGTCCTGTTTTTTTTTTGACAACCAAATGTAGAATTCATACATCGAAAACATTTACAGGAAATGAGGCACACTTCTGCTAAAAAGCACACTTTTGCACTGTTATCAGATAGTGTGTATTGTGGGCCCATTAAAGCGTCAGTTGCTTGGGAATATCATCATATATACATATAAATTTGGAATTTTGCTCCTCTAAACTGGAAGCAAATTTAGATTTCTAGACAGGTGAAAGTTAACCACTGTTAACCCATGCCATAATTGGGAGAGTATAATCAAGAAGGTTTGATTAATAAGGATAAACTTGTTTTGAATTATATTTTATCAAGAATATTTCTTACTTCGAAGTACTAGTCGTATATTATTTGGGATATCAATGGAAATTTAATGTGAGCAATTGACCTCTTATGTGTCTGTGCAAAACATCTGCTAGATGTGCCATGAATTTACACTTTACATGGGACTGTATTTTGATTTCACCTCTTTATTGACTTGAATTCTCTTAAATTTGAAAGAAAACGTCAATCTTTTTCAATTTGGGGATGACCGATCACCAGCTCTGTATCCTGGATAGATGGGTTGTGGTGCACCCATCCAATCCCATGTCTTGCTTTTACTTTTTAATTTGTCCTTTGTGTTTTTGAGAACCAGCACACATACAGGGAGAGTGAAACTGACGTAGGACTCTTGTCAGATATGTGCTTTCAGGATTATTCACTATAGTGGCTTCACATCCTCTTATAGAAGTATGAGTGTTGAAGATTTAAATGGAACATTCCCTCATGTTTTGTACAAAAAATATCCAAATTATGTTTTATGAATATGGACGTATACATTTTCAACTTGATGCTTTTATAATTTCAAATAACAAATCTGAAATTAGGATTACTGACTGTGAATTTTTAACACGGTTTATATTTTTCTTCTTATATTACCAGTACTGCATTTCTCTGCTGATTATATTTTATGATTTATTTTGTATTAACTTCCAATTGTGATGCAGTATTTCTACTTTTAATTTATTATTAGCTGTCATTTTTCCTCTTTTTATAGCATTGCACATGTTAGTTTGTCACATAAATGAGAATCAAGTTTACGTTTTACAGAAATCTAATATATATATATATGGATCACATCTCTGTATGTGTTTGAATATATTCCTCGGCTACCTCCGTTTGAGATGGGAGAGCTCAACAGGGACAAATATCGAGTCTGCCGCCCTGTACCCTTTTAAAACATTTCCATTAAACCCCAAGGAACGGCATTAACTGAGATCTTTTGTGTGGGACTAAAATATTATTTTTCACGTAATTCCTACATGTCTTAAATAAACATTAATTTTAAGGACAATGCCGCCCTGTGCCGTAATTTTCTCTGTGACGCACAGCAGCTTTGGGTCCCACCCTTTGAGTGGTGTTTTAATTGAACAGGCGTTTGTCTGTTCACTGTTAGTTTGAGACTGAAGATGACTGGGAACATGAAAAGAGCCCTGCTGCTGTTGCTGCTCATCTCTGTGCTGAACTTCTCAGCTGCTTTTCCTATGGAGCCACTTCGAAAGGTATAAGAATATTTTATTTTTTTGCTTTTTGAAAAAACTAAATGTATAATTAGAACTGTCTGGTATTGAAAATACTAACTGTAACTGATGTATTGCGTTTGTTTTTCATCTTACAGACACCTGTACTGATCCAACCATCAGATCCACAGCCATCAGAAAGTGTAACACTAGGAAACTCACAGGTGTGAAGAGTGTTTATGATGTGACATGATCAGACTTATTTATTTGTATGTGGAATATTAAGCTATGCTGATGTTCGTAGGACATGAGGGTCAGCAGTCTTGGATTTCGTCTGAAAAGAGCCAGTTCTGCTAACACAAAGAAACCGGCCCGTTACTGTGCTGGATGCTTCTCTGTCATTGGAGACCCAACGAGACCAGAGAAATGAAATCTGCTGAATGAATAACCCTAAATATGAATATCTTTGGATTTTTTTTTGTTTTTTTAATCTGTTTATGAAACTATATTTTAGTATACTATTCTAGATGGTCACTTCTTAAAATGTTGCAGGACTGCACTTTTAAAAAAATGAAATATTCAAAAACATTTCAGTAAAATTAGTGTAAATGCAGGACTGTTTTTCTTTAAAAATGCCAGTCACCTACTGACTTTTGTTATAGCTTTGAGCTTTTTTCTTCTCATGCATGCAGTAAACTTGCTATTTGAGGATTTCCTAAACAAAGAAATGATAGTTCAGAACGATAACATGGATTTGAAGTAATGTCTAGGTGGCTGTTTCATAGACGTGTCATTATAACCGCAAGGTGTTATTATCGTGTTAAAGAGCTTCAGTTTTGATCATAGTCAATTATTCGTATTTCCCACTCTATCATTTATGGCTTTGCTACCCGTGGGAGTAAAATAGGATATAGGCACATAGGATCAGAATATGGAATCATAGAGGCTAGTGTCAGAGAAACAACTGAGTCTTTATATATAAAATCTTAGCTAGTGCATCTTTAGTTTGATTTATTTCTAACCTGCACAGTAATCATGTAGTCTATAGATGGTGTAAATTACAAGTGAAGAGAAACAAATGAAAATCAAGCTTTTTGCAAAGATTAATAAAATATATCATTCCAGCTTGCTTTCTTCTGGAGCACCAGGAGCATTAGAACCTGATAGAAAACATCAAAACGTGTTTAATCTTCATCGTTAATGTTAAACCTATTATTCACAATACAATCAGATCTTTTAAGAACTATATTCTGTAGATGGAAACAGTACCTTCAGTCTGTGGACTGCTTTGTGGTCCAGATGTGGAAGGTGCGGGATCAGTTCGTCCCTCAGGGACTGAAGAACCACCGGGGAACCTGCAGTATAGAAGAACATTGTGATTATCTGAGTCTGAGAGATCGGTCTGGGATCACAGAAACTGAATCTAGGGAGGCTTTCTAAGAAGTTAAGACTTTTGAGGAACAAGGAAGAAGATTGAGTCAGGACTTCTGCTGTCTTGTCCTTTGATAAGCAGATTGAAAACAAGCCTTACGTTGAGGAGTAGAATCTGCTTTCCTCTCCATCCAGGATTCCGTGATATGTTCCGATCTCCATCGCCAGCTTCATCTTATTGTTGAGTAAGGTTTCATAGTCACGGCGCTGCTGCTCGATGTCCCCGCGGACGTCGTTGAGTTCAGCCTCCAGCTTTCCGATAACAGAGCCCAGATTTTGGAGCTCAATGCCATGCCAGTGCTTGGCGTCGTTGAGAGCATTCTCCAGGCCTCGTTTCTGGAGGGATCATGCATAGTTCAGTCTAGGGTATTGAATATTGTTGTGCTTTATGATCTTTGCTTTGAGAAGGTTGTCCTACCAGAGCTCTAATAGATTCGGTTTCAGCCTGCATACTCTAAATCTTGCACCCAGCATCATTGCACTCAGTCTTCAGACTCTCAAGCTCCTCTTCCTCTGGACTCAGCTTACTCTTCACACTGTCAGCTTGCTGCACATTCACAAATATACAATATAAAAATATAATTACAATATAAAAAATATCATTATTGTGAAATATTATTATTCAAGGTAACAGTTTTCTATTTTCATATATGTGACCCTGCACCACAAAACCAGTCTTGATGAAGAATAATTTAGTATATTAAATTATTAAACCTTATTATATATTATATATTAAACCCCTTCTAATCTAAAATATATATACATTTTATATATTCATAATAAATTAATGCATTAAATTTAAAATTATTTTAGACAACTTTATAATTATTTAATATATTCAATATATTAAACCATACATCATACTAATTAAAAGAAAGAAAATAAAACGTGCTAATGGGATATGAAAAGAAAACTAAATTAAAGATATTCTATTTGTTAAATTTATGTTTAATTTATGTTTAATTTATTGTCAGTGGGGTCAGTGTATTTTTGGCTATTGCTACAAATATACCCCAGCGACTTAAGACTTAAGTTTTGTGATCCAGGGTCACATATTTCAAAATGTAATTTATTCCTGGATTTTCAGCTGTCATTACTCCAGCCTTTAGTTTCACATGATCCATCAGAAACCATTCTAATATGCAGATTTGGTGTTCAAGAAAAAGATTAATAAATTATGTAAACCTGTATTAGTTCACTGTTAGTTCCTGATATACCTAATGCATTAAATGACCTTTAAGTGTTTTCAAAGTATTTTATGTGAGATGAAAGAAACTACAGAATGAAAACAGTCAGTTATACAGTTTGGTGGTCATTGTGCAAAAATATTTGGCCACAGGATGACACATTCAGAATCAAGAATCGCAGAGCACTGTGTGATAAAATAGTCCATATAGGCTTATGTTCAATGGTTTACCTTGCACTCAAGGTAGGCATCAGTCTCAGCACGGTTCTTCTCAATGACTTTCTCCCAGTGGGAGCGGATAAAAGCTAGAATCTGGTCCAGGCTGGTCTCAGTGGGAGCATCCGGCTCATCAACCTCATGGCCGGATATCTGCTTATAGAGCACTCTAACATCCTGAAGAAGAGCAAAGGAAGATGCTAATTTACCACTGAAACATCTCCCTCACGAAGAGGGTTCTGTTGTTGAACTGGTCTTATCTCACCTCAATGTGATTTTGCTCCAGATTCATCAGCTCATTCTTCATGCTCTCAGTCTCATTCTCCAGGTCCATCCTGCTCAGGTTTGCATCATCAATGACTTTGTACAAAGAGTTAATTTCCTCTTCCACTGCTTTACGGAACGGCTGCTCATTCTCATACCTACACAATTATGCATAGAAACACACTATAGACCATTTGATGGAATGTAAAAACTAGTGATATGATTAAAATCTGTTGCTCTA